CATGACTCTCAATACTGTATAACCATAATCACAAAATTAAGAATACAGGCCTATGATCTGCAGTACTGCTCTGGGCATGTGACTCAGTATGTGGGCTGCATTCCCTACACCTGGCAAAGAAGTAAAAATTAAAGATGTCTAGACTTCAGGCAAGACCTCCTGAATCACAACCCTTAAAAGGTGAGCCTGAGAATCTTTATTTTTAAAAAAAGTAAATACATTTTAACAGAAAACAAAATACAAAATAACTTTTTGGAAAACAGAAATATTTAATCCTTTCCCCATACATTAGAACTTGCTTTATCCTCAGGGCACAGTTTGACATGTGCATGAGCACTCAGGAGAGAATCTATATTTTTGTGGGGTTTTTTTGGTACTGGGGATCAAACTCAGGTCCCTGCGCTTTCGAGGCAGGCGGCCAAACCACTGAGCTAAATCCCCGGCCCGAGAATCTATATTTTTAACAGGCACAACCAAGTGATTCTTACACATACTAAAACTTGAGAACCACTGCCACGAAAATTTCCTTTGATCGATAACCATTTCAAGTACTATTATCAAAATCTACCTGGAAAATGTGAACCAAATAGAACTCAGTTACAACTACGAAAGCAGCTCTTGAGAAAGTATTTATCAGTCCATGTTACATGACTCACTCAACTTATAAAAATACTTCTCTTAAAAAAAAACAAACTTCTCTTGACACCAACCTTTTTATTCAATTATTTCCAAACTGTCACAGATAATGAAGATTAAAAACTGACTCTCTATAAACAATTATATACATATGGTCTATTTAGCCTATAGTTACCCAAGGGAAAGTTGATGGGTGTACTACCGGATTGCTATTCAGGAAGAAAGCATATATTTTCTAACTAGCATAATATAGTGATTTTGAATGTTTGCAAGCCAACCATAGGGACCTATGCTCAAAGACCCCACTACCAAATACTAAACAGACAAAAAAGCCAAGAGACAAATCTAATCCCTCAAAAACAGCCACAAATCCACATCCTGTGCACACTGAAACTCTCCAAAAGGAATCTCTCAAGGAATCAGCCAAAAGCCCTTACTACTGCCAGGTGTGATGGTGCATGCCTGTGATCTCAGCACTTCGGTTTGGGTGGAGGAGGCATGAGGATCGCCATGAGTTCAATGTCAGCCTGGAATACATAGTGAGTTCAAGGCCAGCCTGCACTGCAAAGGCCGGCCGTCTCGGGCCAGGGATTTAACTCAGTGGTTTCGCTGCCTGCGGTGGAAGCTCAAGGACCTGAGTTCAATCCCTGGTACCAAAAAAAAAAAAACAAAGTAAGGCCCTGTCTCTACTTTAACCTTAAAAAAAATTAACCTAAGGCCAGTTACTTCCCATACTATATAATTAGTCCAAATACACTTATTTTGGTTTTATCTGTTGAAAGTATCCCTTACCCATTAGCCTCCAAGTACATACACATCAAAGAGAAGACAGTTGATGCACCTTACACTGGGAAAATTATAAGTCAGAGACTAACAATGCCAGTCAAGAAAACTTTCCTTCTGCAGTAAAATTTAGAGCCCCGAGGGCTTCTTCATATTGTAGTACCAAGCCCTGCAATGTGACTCCTAAGCCTCTTAGAATGTAGTGAGAAAAGACAAACTAAACCACACCAGCTTCATTTCAGTTTAATGATTGTTCCAAGATTCACTGAGGACAGAGTCTTGGTAAGCAGACTAAAAAGACAAAGAAAATGATGCTCTTGTGTCCAAGCTTGTAAGCCCCTTTACATCTCAAGGTTGTTCTGTTCTTTCACACCTTTGAGTCATCCAAGAAATTATGATATGTAAAAATTGGAATAAAAATAATTTTTACATAGAGGAAACAGGTCTAAAATAGGATAAAGTCTTAAATAGCAATTATCAAGGTCCCGACAACCACCTGTGATTTGATACAAATGATACATCTTCACAATGAGAATCCACCTATCCCTAGCTCTGGCTCCACTTGGCACTTCAGCAGCAAGGAAAGTTTTCCTGGCACAACAGGGAGAGTGAACTTAAAAGAACTTGAGAGACAAAGAAAAGCTCAGAGTGTTGCCTAAAGAATGCTTTGGGAAAATCAGCATCAATCAGATCAGATCAAAACAAATGGCAAGAACAGAAAGAATCACATTTTGGGCTGGGGTGTAGCTCAATGGCAGAGCACCTGCCTAGCACGTGCAAAGTCTGGGATCCAATCCTCCGCACCACAAAAAAAAGAAAGGATGGAGGGAAGGAGATGGGAGGGAAGGAGGTAAGCAGGCAGGCAGGGAGGAAGGGAAGAGGGGGAGGGAGAGAGGTACCCCCAACTGAGATTTCAGAGAATTTACCAAGTAGCTGAGCTTTGTGTTGCAACTATCACAACTTCCACTGCACAATGGAGAAGTTTCAAAGAATTTGGAAATCAAAATACATATACCTAGAAGGGTGAGCAACCAATGCCAGGAAGATTTCTGATTACCATACCCTTCAAGAGAGGTCTAGGCAAAAATTCTTTTCCTCAACTAAAACTAAAATAAATAATACTGTAGGAGACTATAGCTAACATGATCTAGGGCCAGGCATTTAGCTCAGTGGCACCGCACCTGCCTGGCAAAGCGCAAGGTCCTGAGTTTGATTCCCGGTACCGAAAAAAGAAAAAATATAAACACATATATAGCTAACATGATCTACCATGTGTTGAAAAAACAAACACAGCTGATGACCTCCCAAAGACACAGAGTCTTCCATTCACCACTAAGGAGTGCCAAAAAGCAGTGTCTTTTCCACACAAGTCTTCCCAGGTTCCCAGCCTGAAGCAGGGCCTGAGGCAAGTCCCTCTACCTATCCTGTGAGATCATCTGAGATCTCCTTTAAAGGACCTAGTTTATAAAAAAGGAGCCCTCAAGAACCAAGCGTGAGGGCAAATGCATGAGATCCCAGCACTGGGAGGCTGAAGCAGGAGGACTGCCATGAGTTCAAGGCCAGCCTGGGCTACATAGTAAGTTTGAGACCAGCCTGAATTACAAGCAAGATCCTGTCTCAAAAAACAAAACTAAACAACAAAACAAAACAAAACAAGGAGCCCTCAACTAGGCTGGCTGTAGTTCCCTATAGAATTGTTTTAATTTAGTTGCTGTAGAATCTATAAAGAGTAAATTACTTGGCACCTTATAAATTTATAATTTTAAATACTTTAAATCTAATAATAAACAGCTAGACCCAAAGTTAACTTCCAAAGGAAAAATAAGACAGTTCCAAGAGCTTCTATCAGAAGAAAATATTAGCAACAGATTGTGAGTTATCTAGAAAGAAAATAACTAGGTGCTCTAGTACAAGAAATCAAAAAAACTACTTACTGTATTCTGTACCTAAATGTCTTGCTCCCCAAAAGACTAAGAATATATTGTCAGAGAATACTAGAAAACAGTATGTAGGACGTTAATGAGAAAAGTAAGCATCTATTACAGAAAGGACACAAGAGAGGTACAGTATCTCTGAACACAGTGAGCTACTCTTTCTTGATGTGTAAGAAAAGAAGAAACAGAACGACTGGGTACCACAGAGTAAGACAGTCATGGATAAAAGGGTAAGGGGCACAAGATATGAGAAGGAAGAAATGGACCCTGTAAGATCAGACTTTGAAGATACCATCATCCCCTTGGAATCCCTTAGATGAACCTACGGTTTTACAAGAGAAAAAAAATGTGGTTGTGGAAATTACAATGGAGATAAAATGTTTTTAAAATGAGAAAGACTTCATAGGGGCAAGAACAAAAATGTGGAAAAAAAGAACATACAATATAGATCCACTAAGGAGAGAAACACAGAAGTGAAGACCGCTGAGAACACAGACAATGCCAGCACACAGCACCTACAAGTCAACCAGCAACATCTATATGAATTTTAATATAAAGCACAAAAACACAAACAACACCTAGATTAAGGTAGTGGAAGAGGTCTACACAGAAACTGCAGGACTAGGCAACGTCCGACAAGCTTTAAGGAATGCGGTGGGGAAGTGCGGAGTATGATGGGGGAGCGACTGCAGCAGCAAGAGGGTAGGCTGCAGCAGAAGCAGCCTTAAAAAAAAGGGAAAGGAACCTACAGGAGAAAAAGAATAAATTAAAGTGAAGTGCGGGATCCAGAAGCACAAGGAGAGAAGATGGAGCTGGGCATGTCCTAAAAAATGGAGAGGTCAAAGACCCAAAAGAGGGTGGTAGTTTGGCAGAAGTAGAAGCCAGGAGAGCGCCACCATCATCCTGACTCAAAAAAGAAGTGTAAGTATGATGCAGGAGTGAAGGCTGCGGGCCAGCGTGGACTCGGAGGGATATGGTGATGGAAACGCTAGACTCAAAATCAGGGTGTAATTCCGGGACTAGGGGTAGGAGAAACGAGGGCCAAGCCCTCCCCACAAAAGGCAAAGGTCAGAAAGGAAGGTGTACTCTTCAGGGTGTGCATACAAGGAGAAGACGAAAGGATGGCAGTAAGATGGGAAAATGCAGGGGGTCCTTAAGGAGAAGGAAAAGATAGATACGTAAGGAAAGAAAAAGGAGTGGAGTAGGGAAGGCTGTGTTTCCGGAGGAAAAGTAGGAGCAGACCCGAGGTTCTGCTTACTTGGTTTAGAGGGCAGAAGGGACAGTCCACAGGGACTGAGGGGAGTGGTGGAGAACAGGAAACTACGAGGCTAAAGACGAGAACTTGGGGGAGGACCCGGTATTGGCCGGTTCCGAAAAGGAGGTGCCGTCAGTAAGGAGCAGAAGACGTTCATTAGCAGGCAGTGAGGAGCAGGAAACAGCGTGATAAAAGGGGAAGACAGAGGGGCAGAAAACAGCCAAAGGCGTGAGGGCAGGGTTTTGTAAAAGCACCCGAGGAATCAGACTGGAGGGGTGGGAGCCGGGCCGGGGGAGGGTCAGCCCACGCGGAGGCCGGTGGGGGGTGCTGCGGCCTGCGGTGACAGGGATGAGGGCAGAGGCAGGGACAGGCGGAGGGGCCCCGATACTCACACCTCCAGGATGCGGTCCCCCTTGCGCACCCCGGCCCGATCGGCCGCCCCCCCGGGCAGCACGGCGCTCACATGCTGCAGCGGCGCGTACAGCTCCCCGTTGATGCTCCGCAGCTGCCCGCCCTCGCTCACTTGGCCCCGCACGTTGAAGCCGTAGCCGGACTCGGACTTGACGATGCGCACGACCCGCGGGCCGCCGCCGCCGCCGCCGCCGCCGCCGTTCCCGGCGCAGTGGAGCCCAGATCCCCCACCGCCGCCGCCGCCTCCGTTCCTGTGAGGGGCTGAGGGGTGAATCCCTTCCCCGTCCTCGTCCGCCATCTTGCGAGCAGGCGAGCCCTACCCCCGCCCCCCTACGCCTCCACTCCCTCCTGGCGCGCACTCGCCCTCCTCGGCAGCCGCGCGACCCCAGGCGCGTGCGCTCGCTCGGCCGGCAGCGGGACCAAGTCGGCCACGGAGCCTCTGGCGGGGGGGAAAGGGAGGCGGGGGCGGGGGAAAGCGGACGGTTGGGCGCCGCGGGGCCTCCTGGGAGATGTAGTTTCTAGGCGGTGGGGGCGGGGTCACACGACGCGTTCGGGAACGAGCCATGCTGGGAGTTGTGGTTCAGCTATTAGGCGGTTCGGTTAATGGGTGGTAAAAAGCTTGCATCCCAGCAGCCAGCATAACAGCAAGTTCACCTATTGATACAGGGCAACTTTCCTCTCCACTTTCATTTTATAAGGTCTACAGCTAGGGGCGTAGTGGAACTGCGTCCTTAGCACGCACGAGGCCCTGGGTGCAATCACACACACACACACACACACACACACACACACACACACACAGAGCAATGTCAGGGTTAGCTGATGTCTGTGAGTCAACACAATCTTACATTTGCTCAGCAACCGGTGTGTTCTTGTGCGGATTGAACCTAGGTAACTCTCCTCTCTCTCTCCTCCCTCCCTC